AAAAAAAAAATATTTTGAATATTAATATACATAAAGTATTTTGAAAACAATTTTTTTTAATTACAAAAAAAAAATGTTAAAAAAATATATTTAATATAATAATTTAAAAAATAAATTTTTCAAATTTTTTTGTTTACAACTAAATATTTGAAATATAAAACAAAGTTATATTTATGAGTTAAAAATAAATAAATTTTGTATATAAAATATATATGTATGTTTACTGAAAAAAAAAATTTTAAAAATGCAAATTATTATACCAATCTTAATAGCACATATATTAAAAAAAAAAGTAAAAAAAAATTCTATACGACTTCAATAACTTGATTGCCAAAAGTGTCGCCTCTGCTTGTACAAGAACAGCACCGTGGATTATGTTCCTTGTATAAGTGGTTGTGTGCACTTTCCTTAAACCAAGCTCAATAATAACAATAACAAAACAAAAATAAATACAAATTTAAAATTTACACAGTCAAAGGCCTGAAACAGTCAGAACTTGCATAGCAAATATTAGAAAATAACAACAAAAACTAATAGTAGTACTCCCTCCCCAAAAAACTGGCACTTGCAAAATTCTCAAAATAAATAAAAACAAAATCATAAACCACAGCGGAAGCAGTTAAGACCGTGGCACGGCCACCAGCAACCAAAGCAACAACAAGCGTATTATTCAAAAAATAAAAATTAAAAACAAGCAACTAATGCAACCAGCAACTAAACAAGCTTGCCAGCCAAACACGGACCAAGTAGCCAACTAAAACACACAGTGGTAACAGCAGTTAAACAGTTGGACGCGCGAGCGACCGACTGAGTCGTGGCATGTGCAATATTATTTGCAACGGTAACGGCTAAGCAACTCCAACTAGCTACAACGAACCGCGCGCCAGCATTGCGACAGCCATAGTTGGCGTTTAAAATTTAAAGAATAATAAAAATAAATTAACGAAAAAGATACAAGCAAAACAATAATACACACAAAACTTCTCAAAATTAATTTTTTCTGTATTTTTTTTTTTTTTGTCAACGCTAGCAAATTGTGCAACAACAACACTTGGTGCAACGCGCAGCGCTGTGTCAAATACGAATGACGCGCATTTGTGTACTTTTATTGTTATTTGAACATATTTACGTTTTTAAGCTTGTTCATAAGCCAACGTGTGGACGTAAGCTACGTTTATATGTGCATATGTTGTGTTAAATTGCTTTCAGCAACAACAAAATGGCACAGAGTACTTTACTTAACAGAAACAGTGTCAATAAGTCAGCATTAGTTGTGCCACAAATAAACTATAAAATTTTAATAAAGCTATAAATTGTAACAAACCACAAAAACCAACAACAAAAACAAGTAAAATTACGTTAAATGTGTGTTTGTGAACTAAAAAATATTTAAAAACAAATTGTGCTAAGAAATTCAAATTGAATTGCCAAAAAGACAACAACTACAAGCAGTAGTGAAAAGGCGTACAAAATTTAAACAAACCTGCCTCCTTATCAACAATCCTCATGAAAACACTTTTACTCCAAATTAACTAAATAGCAAGTTAAAACAACTGAGTCATAACTTAACAAGTGCAACTTCAAAGTAAACCATTATAACCCTCATTACCAACAAAAGCAAGAAAAATAAAAAAAATAAATTACAAAAAGTGCAACTCTGCCTGTGCCTCTGCTGCAATTCAAGTGCAATCTCAACGCAAAACAAACACAAAAAGGCTAGCGAAGAAGGCGAAAAAGTGTAGCAAGCGCAACAACAGCAACCAAAACGGCAATAAAAAGTTTACATACAACAATTGCAAACAGTAGCGCAAAGAAGTGTGTAAAAAGTCATAAAAGCAACAACAATAAAAGGACGCGCTACGCTGTGTTTAGCAATAACAACAACGTACATGTATGTATGTGTGTGAAAAACTGCAGAAATGGCGTAAAGAAAAGCCAAGTTCTGCTATAAGCCAACAACAACTCCCACCTGCAAATGTGCTAGCTAACAGCTTAGAGTTTATTGAAAAAACTCCAAGAAATTGCAACCAAAAAGCAAAAACACAAAAACAAGTAAAACAAGCAGTGAGAATTAGTGATGAAGAAATCGAAATACTAAAGTACCTGGATATAAATATATAGAGCATATATATGTATATAAGTATATTACTGTTGTTGTTTTAAGTGTTTATAAGCCAATAAGTGTATGTCTGTGTGCAAAACGCTAGCATAAATTAATAATATTAGCAGCAACTAAAAGTAATAAAAAATTACCCAATCCAATTTTGAAAAACAAAAATTAAAAAAAAAAATATTGAGAAATAAAAAGTTTAAAAACACAAAATTTTGAAAAGCCACAATTTTGAGAAATAAAAAAATACAACTTTTGAAACGGTTTGCGCGAAACAATAATATACAGCAAACCATATGCTTGCAAGATTTTGTGGCATACAACAGCATATTTCGTGCAAATAAAAGTCAAAAAGTTACAGCGCTCGCGTTTGAAGCTTAAAAAACACGAAATATAAAATAACTATTATTTAGAAACCACAACACTTTAATAAATTAAGTGTTAAACGCAATTCATTACAACAAACATCAGCAATCAATCAACCAATACACCTCAGACGCACCACCAAAAGTTAAATAATAAAACATCTGTATTTAGTTGATTCAAAATATTAAAAATTAATATACAAAACGAATTTAAAAATACAAGATTTACTATTTAATAAAAAATCTTCAAAATACTATTTAATAAAAAATCTTAAAAACACACAAGAAGCTAAAAATTTTACACGCAAACTGCAACGCGCTACAAACCTTCATATAATCGTGTGACAAAGCAAATTTTGGTAAAAACGCCAAAACTCAGTTTTACAACGAAAAATATAGTAATATTTCTATTGTTGGTATTTAAATAGATAAATTGTAATATTCTTTTTTTTCCATACATTTTTTTTGTCGCTGTAAAGTGTGAAATCGCCACCTACAACAAGCACATAGTGTTACAACAACAATACAAAAAACGAAAAAGATCAACCATTTTTACACACAAAACATCAGAAAATAGTGACAACAAGAACAAACAATTGTGCGAGTCAAATCGTCTCAGCGCAAGCCAGCAAGCTAAGCGCAATTTAGGCGCAAATAAATAAATAAGGCATAAAGCAAGAAATCATATTGTATGCAAAACAAAAGCGCAGCGAAGGCATCCGCCATTTACAACCAAAGGCAACATTTACAACTACAGAAAAACGCAATAAAAACAAAACATCACACACGAAAATTCCCAGCGAAGTGTTTGTGTTTGTGCCGCGCCGCGTACGTAAATGTGTGTGTCAAAGAAGTGTTAATTTGTGCAGCGTAAATCATTTCGGTAACGTAGAACATCAAAATATTGTCACCAACAACAACAGCTGTGACACATAACAGCGCATAGCAGTTAGTCACACAGTCAGTCAGTTAGTCGCTGCAACGTGCGCGCACTTAAACACTCACTGTGTACCTTTTACGAGCCGACAACAACAGCAATAACAATAATAACGGCAGGAACACCTCGAGGCGTGTCGTTTTGTAACATCTACACTTATTATCCACGCCCTGCCTAAACAAAACAAATCCAGCAACATATATAGCATATAGCATAAGCGCACCTAAATTAGCTACCAATTACCTAAACGCTGTAAAAGTAGACCTCAACGTAAACTTAAACTACCTACGAACCTTTCTACCATAACTACCAAGCTACCTGTTAGTCCTAGCGCGCGCGCTTACTAAACTGCCTACGGATTTATAACGCGTGGAATTGTTGTCCGTCCAAACGCTTACAGCATAACACACGCACACATATATATATACATACATACCAAACAAACAGGAAGCGTTGTAAACGAATTAGTGCGAATTTTTATTAATTGGTACTGAGTGCGCGGACACTGGACGCGCACCGCTTGCTTATACGTGAAGCGCTAACACTTAAATATAAGCGCGACATAGCTGACGATCAGCAGCAGGAGCGGCAGCAGCTTCACGCATTTTGTCTTGTCACTACCTTTTTGTGTGTTGCCTACGTACCAATTCGCTACACATTCGTTTAGTATTTATATAAATGTTGTGTGCGCTGGACGCGTTCGACAGTGCAATTGTAGTAGTAGCAGTAGTAGACCGTGAAAAATGTTATTAGAAATGGAACAGCAGCAAGCAACGGCGTCGTTCATATCGTCGCTCAATATGTCACCGTTCACCATGCAACTGGATCCCCAACAGCCGTCCAGTCCCGCCTTGGGTGGCGCTGGCGGTCCCAATAATGGGCAGACGAACGCCAGTTCGGGCGCTGCCGCCAATCGCGGCAATACGGATGCGAATGCCTTGAGTGGCGGCGACGCGGATTATAGCAGCTATGCGCTGCACTTGAGCGCTGGCGGTGGCAGCAATGCGGGCGGTGGTAATAGTGATGGCAGTGGCGCCACAAATCCAGGCAGCGCACATCACCATCACCATCATCAACAGCAGCCACAACAACAACATCATCAGCAACAGCAGCAGCAACACTATCAAACACAACAGCAGCCGCAACAGCTGCAGCAGCAGCAACAACAACAGAATATTGCCAACAATCCCAACTTTTCATATTCGTACATTTATAATTTTGACTCACAATACGTATTCCCGACAGGTTATCAAGACAATACGTCTTCGCATTCGCAGCAGAGCGTTAGCGGTGGCGGTGGTGGCGCTGGTGGTGGCGGCGGCGGTGGTAGTAGTACCAGCAGCAATGCCACCAATGTTGTGCTGCTTAATGGCAGCAATCCGAATGCTACCGGCGGTTATATGACACTCCTGCCACCGGCCACGTCCAGTGGCCATATGGGCATGTCGTCGGGTGGCACTGGCGCTAGCGCTGGTGGCTCAGGTGAGGGTATCGATTTCAAGCATTTGTTTGAGGAATTGTGTCCCGTTTGTGGTGATAAAGTGAGCGGCTATCATTATGGTCTGCTTACGTGTGAGTCGTGTAAAGGTTTCTTCAAGCGCACCGTGCAGAATAAGAAGGTCTACACGTGCGTCGCCGAGCGTTCGTGTCACATCGACAAGACGCAACGTAAGCGCTGTCCCTACTGCAGATTCCAGAAGTGTTTGGAGGTTGGCATGAAACTTGAAGGTGAGTACAAACAATTTGCCTTTACTTATATTTATAGCGATTTATATGATTTTTTGTAAGCGTGCAAAATCAATGTATAAAGGTGTGTAATCTTTAAGAGTGGCCCTGATATTAGATTTATTCCATTACAACTACAACTAGGTTTACGAAACCTCTGGAATTCGACTGACTGACCGAATTTATTCAATGAATGTTTTGATATAAAGTTGTCCGCACTCATATCTTCGGTATACTTTCCAAATTGGCTTGCTAAGCCACTCCTGGAGAGATAGTAGTTTTATCTAGTACATACATATTTCCAAGAAACCCATGAACTTCTTCCAACTCTTTTGGTAAAAACCGCCAAACACCTCACTAAGATTATTAGTGGAAGTCTGTTTTAACAGAAAACAAAACTATATAAAGAGTAGCAAAAATCTGTGGAAACAATTCAACATATTGTTGTTGTATCATCGTAGGACATTCTCCAAATAATGTTGTTGAAGCAGCAAACGTGAGAACTTCGGTTAAAAACCGAGTCGTTCGTATTACTAAGGCTCAATTGTCTTGTGAACATAATCGTAACTTCGATTCATCTTGACAGCAATTAAAACTCTCATTAAGTTTGACTACACCATCTTCTTTAAATATAGTCATCCTTCAGATGAAATTTGTTATATTACAGAACTCTAATATTGATATTTCATGGGCATGAGATTGTGCGAGATCTAAATGAATTCAAATGTTCTCGATTACAGTTTTTTTTATAATTACATTCTAATCATCTAATTACTCTCTAATTATTTTCGTTAAGTTTGGTATGTGTCTTAGCACAACTCAAAATAAATTACATGTCTTACACATTTCAAAGAAGCTCTAGAAGGGAGGATCTTCATAAGTTGTTTTTTCACTTAAGAACTGTTAACGAAAGCTTATATGAGCAGCCAGAGGCGAAACATACACTTTTTTGTATTTTAAGATTTGGACTTTTTTCGACAGGTTTCAGCGAAAATTTGTTTACCTATTTAAATGCACTTGCTTAAGTGACTCTGCGCAGACTACTTACTACTATTGTTCAAATTAGAGCATAGAGAGGTCTAAGAGCAAATGCATACCAAATATTTTCCTTCCAACCATTCTAAATTGTTTGGAATTTTATTTTCTCTAATTATGAATCTTTATTTCCCTATTAAATATGCATATTAGCCCTAAAACATAAATCCTATCGGCGTTATTATGGAAGAGCCCACACGAGGACTTATGATTTCACTTAGTTGTTTACCGTTATGTGCTTTACACAGTTACAAAAGTGTGTCTACATGCATAAATAGCAGAATTTGATCGATATTTTTTGTTGGTACTCAGACGCGAGTCGCTCAGTGTTGGTCGTTTAAAAGCCAAACTATGAATCTGCGGCAGTATGACGAGGGTGGCGATTGCGGAAGGAATTCATATATAACTATGTGGTACGCTGGTGCACCAGTCGCAAGCACATACGAACAGTTACTAGCTAATCTAGCGAGGAATTTGAATTTGTGAGCGTATATGTATATCGTAGAGATTGGCATAAGGTGTTTAGCACGCCGCCATGACCAGTGGTTCGAGCTGGGTGGGAAACGAGTATGTATATATGCCAAACTTATCGATTCGCGCTCACGTTAGAGTTGAAAGCTGGTTGGTATTGGTTGAAGCGCTTTACTTTTCATGGAAAATAATAATAATTTCACAAACAGCGCGCACTCGCTATTGACAGTCAGCGTGAAAAAGGACATGGCAGTTGGCTAGCAATAATAAGAAAGCGCACTAAAATATTACAAACATTTAATTTATGGTAACTTGGTGACTGCACTGTGCTACGTTTGAAAATGTGTTTAAATTTGTAATGGTCACTAAAAAGGCGAATCGTCCGCGCCATTCATACATATTTCCATTCTTGACACAAGTATTTCAAGCCTTGCACAATATTTTGAATATTGTGAATAAGAAATGAAAGCGCTGCGCTTTGTATAAATATAAAAATATCCAGCTGTGTATTTGTGTGCGTGTATGCGCTTACCCCAAAAAATGAATATAAATGAATTTATATGTGATAATCGGTAAATATGCACTTTTCAAAATGCGCCACGAAAAGACAGGCCGAAAGTGTGTGTTGACAACGTCACTCGCGTCAGCGCGCCGCGATGACGAGCAAGTGAGCGAGCGCCGATTGCCGATTGCAGCAGCGCAGACCACAACACTGTGTGTTTAGAACCACAATAAGAGAAGGAAAATAATAAATAAGACTTTGAGTAAAAAAAGCACACGCAAGTTCTTGGCAAGGGTGCGGTGTGGGCCACAAGGAATGCGAGGAGCCAGCAGAAAGCAAAAGTGAGCAGCAGCAATGACTCCAGCGCAGAGTATGCGGCTGACGGAGGGTGGTTGAATTCGGTGTATACGTTTATGTGGCATTGCGGAAGACAGCGGCACAACAGCAGCGCCCGACCTATCCCAAGTTTCAGGCAGAAAAAAAGCAAAAAAAATAAGAACAATATAGAAGGAATTGTAAGCGACGAAGCTCGGTGTCGCGTTGTGCCGCCTTATCGCAACTGGCTGGCGATGAGAATGCTTCGATTTTCATATATGTATGCACACATACATATGTAGTATAAATGGCTTTGCATGTTTCCATGCGGTTTTTGCCCCGCAAACGCGCTTACACAAAGCAAAATGCTTGTGACCCTCCAGCAGCGAGTAGCGCGACTGAGAGCAAAATGCTGTTTTTTTTCTTACTTGTTATTGTCGCTGTGTTTGTGGTTATTTTTGTTGTTTTGGGCCTTACTCGCAAGACCCTTTAACGCGCCGCGCAGCTCCACTGCGTATGCTTCACACAAACTCAGGCAAACCTATACGCAGCTATTTATTATATGTATTTATGTATATATATATGTATATGTGTATGTAAATGTGTATATTTGCATTAGCTGCGTTTGTTGCGGTTTTGTGTTGCCAGTCTGACATTGTTAAGGTTTTTACATATTTTTGAATATTTCTGTTTGTTTGTATGCGTGTATGAACGTTTTTCATGTTCAAATGAAACCACATATTAAACAATTATCATCGCTTGTTGCTGCTTTTTTGTGTTATATATAGGTGATTGTAATACATTGCTTTGATAGCAAGTTACGTCTCGTGACGATTTTATTTATTCCAATTTTTTATATTATTTTGCGTTTTTTTTTCATTTGTATCTCTCCTTTATTAGCGCAGTCCTCGTTGTTTCATAATAATTCAGTTGCTGAGTTTTCCTAGCCGAATTATTTTGTTAATTTTTGGTGATGATTATTATAATTTTTATATGCTTACTTCAAAATATATACACTTTTTATACCCTGAACACGGTATATTAAGTTTGTCACGAAGTTTGTAGCATGCCATAGGATAATTCGCAGACCCTATAAAATATACATATATGTAAATGATCAGCACTATGAGTTTAGTCGATTTAGCCATGTCCGTATATACGCAAACTAATCCCTCAGTTTTGAAGATACCGATCTGAAATTTTGCACACGTTCTTTTCTCCTCAAGAAGCTGCTTAATTGTCGGAAATATAGACAACTTTTTCATTTAACGAGAAATCTTCGCGAAAATTGGCATGAGGTATTGTCCAAAAGAACAATTCAATCTTCGAAAAAATTGTTCCGTTCGGATCACTGAAGCATATAGCTGACATACGAATTGAACGTTCGAAATCAAGTTTTGTATAGAAAACTTTTGTATTTGACGATATATCTTTACGAAATTCGGCATGAGTTATTGTCCAATTCAAGGGTGCAATCTCCGAAGAATCGATCAAAATCAAGTCCCTGTAAGGAATAGTTTCTGTTTGTGAGGTGCTTTAAGCTTCGGTGCGACACATAGTTTGCTTTTTTTTCTTGTTTGAAGTACAAAAATGACAGTTTGTCAGTTGACAATTGTCAATTAATAATAATTACATGTATAATACGATACAAGATAAATAAGCAACCTGTTTAGGTGACATTAAAGCGCCTCAGCCTTAAATATATTTCATTCGTATCTTTTCCGAGAAGAGATGTGAGATTCTGTTTCTTAAGTTCATTTCGTTCTGCTGCGGTAGCTGTGATAGATGATTGAGTGATTGGTAATCAAGGTTTAACCAACTGTAGAAAAAAAATTTAACATTCTCCGAGGTGTTTCAGGGAAACTAAGGACTTATATGCAGAAATTCGCCAGACATACACATAGGCTCTTCAAATTTTGAGAAACTGAGTACCTAATTTCGCTGTTATCACAACCTCTCAGCTTAGTCATATCCAACGTAGAGCGTATTTTAATTCCACAGTTCGTAAAGTACATTTCCAACTAACAATTTTCATTTTGTTGAAGTTATATATTCGAAAATATTGGTAATACCATTCGCATAAACATTTTTGCCAGATCTTGAAGCTTTGCTGAAGTATCCTGAACTAAACAATTAACTTTAAGAGATTATTAGAAAATGATATATCATATACTTTATTTATTCAGAAATATTCGTTCTTATTATTAAATATAATGATCATCTTCGTGGTGGTGGTGGTAACCAGAAAACAAATTTTGTCTAATTTACGCTTTCGATTAGGGATTTTCAAAAATGTTTTATAAGACTTGTAAGGCAAAGCTGGACAAGGGTACAAAGTGTAAATTTTGGAGACTTTTCTACCGAAAGCACGGTGGGATTTCAATGAAATCGAGAATGAGAGATATCCTCCTAAAGCACTTCTAGATTATGATATAGTTTTATGAAGATTGAGATAAAGCGCTTAAATAAACTTGCACAACATATAATCAGTAGATAATTAAATCTCTCTTATCTTCAGTTTTAAACTACCCACTTAGGATCAGTTACAACGCCAGTTGATAACCTCAACAAGGTATAACTAACTACATATATAATGATGCATATAACAGTTATTCGCGTATATATATGTAAACCAATGTAATCGTTGAGGAACTAGTACTTCTTTAATAGCGTTTTCTTT